GGGATGCTGTCTTTTATTCATTCCCTGATACATAAATACAAATAGTCATAGATTTATTAAGATTTTGCATTCATTGAAAGGAAATTCCTCCACCTTGTCTTTCCAGAAACGTGTGTAAGTAGTAAAAACACCTTAAATCTAAATAAATTCATTACATATTATCATGCAACTACCAAAAAGCAATCAGCTGCTCTGCTAAAGATTTGATTGTGTTTTCAATTTGATCAATTTGTTTTTTAATTGAAATGAATTAGCCTTTTCTGCTGAAGAGTTGTTCACCAAGATTTCCACTTAGATGTAATTAGTGCAACAATTAAAACACAAATAGACTCTCAAAAAGGACCAAGAAAACCAAATCTGCTTATTTCAGAACGGCAGCACTTCAGTTATCATTTCCATCTTTAAAAATATATGATATATTCTGTTATTTCCCAGCTAGGGAACAGACCCTCCTGGTTTCAGGCCTGGCTGGGCGTCTCCGTGGGGTCGATACTCCAAACTGAAAATCAAATATGATTACATTGTTTAAATTTGATCCTGTTGTCCGTAACAGGAAAAGTTCCTTTGCAGCAGATATGGCAGGACAGTGATTCCCACCCGGCTGCAATGATTCAATTGTTTCTGTCTTCAGCTCCTCTTGAACCTACCTTGAAAACCTGGGTTTTGTGCGCTGCGACTTCTTCACACAATGAAACAAGCCTTCAGCAGGTTGTTATGTTATCAAGTTGCGAAGGGTCATATATTGTGCAGCCTCAGCTGGCTGTCAACACACTTTCTGTGGGCCAGAGGGCTCCCTGCCAGACAAATTAAGATCCTGAATTAGAAAGCAGATAAACGCTCTGTTGGGAGCTGCGTCGCCCCTCTCTGCACAGACTATAATACACCGCCTGTGATTGTGAAGCTTCCCTAACAAAGCAGACATGTTGCATGATGACTTTCAGTGTTAAATAAGACTGACGGAGGAGGCAGCTCCGACGGAGAATGTGTGTATTCGGGAAGCGAGGCAGCAGAGTTAATGTTCCGCGTAGGTTTTGTCTCACAGCGATGGGTCGTTCCTCTCCGATAATCAACCCCGAAAACCTTCCATCCTTCCAGCCTTTTCCCGCCGCCGTCGCAGGCAGTGAGAGACATCCGATGTTATCAGCTCTGCAGATTGCACAGCGCTACTGCCAAGGGCTTGTCTCATGAATTCACAGTGCAGTGCAGAGATCCCCTCCCCACCTCCACCGCCAAACCGCTTGTTTTACACAGAGCAAATTGGAGTTTGCATTTTCCCCTTGTCTTTTATTTCAGGGCATAAACACCCCTGCTTTTGTCTAATTGCATAAAAAGATCTCTGTCCGCACGGAAAACAAACACAAGCCTTTGTCTTAAACGACTGAACAATTATGGTGTGTGATAACCTGCTGTGAGACGTGGGGCTCGCAGCTGTCTCTGACCCATTTATGAAGCTGATGGATAGGAGGTGAAAGGGGTCTTTTGTGCGGCTGCCTTTTGTGTTTCTTGGGAAGGTGCTTATGATTTCCCGACGACAGGTCAGTGCTGATATATAATCACTGGTGCTGTGCCTCATTGTGAACTCAAATTGCCTGAAAAATATTCATATCCGTCGGTCCGTTCTCCTAGAGTGAAATAATCGGCAACCTCTCAATCGCATGTCATGATTAAGAGATGTTATGAGAAGATATGCCGACACATTTGGCATTCCTTCTGAATCTAAGCCTATACTGTATCTTATATGTCATTTGCAGACCCTATAGTCAAGATGTTTGGACATCAATAGATCTATTTCATAGTAAATCCTTATTATGAGTGTTTGTATCTGTGTTTTTTGTTTGTTTTCAAGCCATTTATTCAGAAAAACATCCACTTTTTCGCTGTTTTGTTTGTGCAAAATGTTGTATGCATTCAACCTGTTCTGTAAAACTGAGGATCCATAAACACACAAAGACAATTCACAATAAAATATCGATGAACACATTGATTAAAATGAGACCGATGAGAGAATTTAGTTTGCGTTCGGTGTATTTCCGTGGTTGCTTACAGCTGCAGTGGTTGAATGCAGATGAGAGAACATCTAACATATAAGCCATCTGCATTGATTTAGCCGTGCATAGATCGCCTTGAGGTGTCATTTGCAGGACTGCCTCATTTTGAGTTCGATTGATTTGAATCCACGATAAAGATATCCAAGTATGTAGAAGTGGGCTTTATTCTCAGACAGATCAAATGTGTTCTTGCTAATGCTTTGATGATGCAGGAATCTATAGTGATGTAGTCTTCTGTTGCTACAAAAGGCTTTTAGATAGTGTGGTTGAGACGCTGGGAAATGCAGCAGTAAGGTGTGCAACAGCCGAGCAAAGTGAAATATGCAACAACAGGAAATAAAGAAAGCTTGTGGTTTGTGATCTGAGAGATGGATCAATCTCTAACTGTACTGGATGTGAAACTTTGGCCTCATAAGCACCAGTCTCACATCAAGATAAAAACAATTTCCTTTACACGTCAGCCCAATGCACGCTACAGTAAAGGTTGCGTGGGTTCAGGAAGTGACAAACATTATGTGACACATAATGTCAGCTTGATTACAAGTGCATTAAATGTACAATGTAGTTACTATGAGTGCAGCAGAAGAGGAACATTAAGGAGTTTTTAAAGGAAGAGATCATTGCAACCCACTTACAATTAACCAAGACAAACTTTTATTTATGAAACGATCTCACTGACGTCACACTTTGCTTTATCACAAATGAGATAATTTACTTCCTGTAATGGCTGTTTCCAAAGAGCAGTCAACATTTGCATTTCAACATCAGCTCAGCTCAAACAACTCCTGACATTCAATCCGTCTTGACTTCTTCCTGATATTTCATCTGATGCCAGCTTCTTAAATGTGAAGTATATGATTGTAAAGTCTTTGAGTGTTGGACTATAAGTTGGTCAAAACAAGCCATTTGTCAAACTTAGACCTGCAGACATTTTCCAGACTGAATCATATACAGAAATATGAACAAATAAGAATACCTTGACTTCATTTCTACTTAACTTTGACATCTCGTTAACTATTAGACCTTTTCTGTGACCCTTTACCTCCTCCTTCCTTCAGTGGGAATGAATCAGTCAAACCTGGGTTTTAACATTTTCAACATATCTATACGTGCGTCCAAGAAATGGAAATGTAATCACAGAAAAGGCATGTTTTTAAAATTCTGTTTGTGTTCTCTCTTGTCAGTGAGGAAGATAAATTGTAGGCTATCCAAATGTTTATATTTCGAGGGAACTATCAACCCTCTTGCATACTTCCCTTAAATCCCCATCAATCTTACACATCTCCCTGTCGGGGTGAGACGAGGTGGTCCTGTGTAGAAGCAATACACTTTAAATTGCTTTCGAAGACTATCTTGATTTGAGACTTCCTGTCAGACATAATATACTCATTTCTCCTTTTTGAAAGTGAAGATTTCACATGCAGAGTCTGTAGTAACTGCATATTCTCAGGGATGCTGTCTTGTTCCCTGATTCATAAATACAAATAGTCAGATTGATTAAGAAAGGAAATGCATGCACCTTGTCTTTCCAGGAGATAAGTAACCACACCTTAAATCTAAGTAGTCTATATTCATTTCATATTATCATGCTACGACCAAAAAGCAATCAGCTGCTCCGATAAACATTTGGTTGTGTTTTCATTCTGATCAATTCGTTTTTGAATTGAAATGAATTTGCCTTTTCTGCTGAACCAAGACTTCCACTTAGATGTAATTAGTGCAACAATGAAAACACAAAATAGACTCTCAAACAGGACCAAAAACAAACCAAATCTGTAGTTTCAGAATGGCAGCACTTACTAGGCGTTGTTTAGACACTGTTATCGTTTCCATCTTTTAAAGACTTTTTAGACTTCCTGTCAGACATAATATCCCCCCCCCCCCCCCCCTTATCCTTATTTCTCCTTTTTGAGAGTGAACATGTCACATATTGTTGACAAAACAAGGTTTTCTCCGCATACTCAGCCTTTCGTACTGTACTGTAAGGCTCCCATCACAGTTTGGTGTGTTTCTGTTCTGCATGCAGACCCCTCCTCACACAGCGCTCCAGTTCACATACAGTGAGCCTCTGTGTGTTATAAACAGGCTGCAGATCTGTGCTATATCACCCCTCCTGTTTGGCCCATTCATGGCTGTTTCCTCTTCTTCCCAAACCTGTGCTTTTTCCACATATTAGGTTTGGTCGTTGGCTGTGAGGTTGTTTCTTACCCTTTTTAAAAAATCATTGGTTGCATGCTGAAGCAAAGCAGTTTAAATGTCAGGTCATCTCTAAATACGTAAGACTCAACTCTGCTGACTCATTGTCCCTTTTTCAGTGTTTTATTGTCATCCTGTACAACTAACAATTATCGTTATTATTGATTACCCCGCCGTTTATTTCCTTGACTAAAAAAAAGTATGAAAATCCTACAAAATAGTCTGTTTCTGAAATTCTAAGGCAATAGATTTTTTGTCAGTAAACACCTTAGATGTATTTATTTGTATATGATTTTAAACAAAGAAAAAGCAGGAGTTATACTTATTTGATAGGCTATTATGCATTAAACCTACCGTGACGATTAATTGATTAGCAGAGTAGTTTCCAATTATCTTTTTGTCGCTTGACTAATCGATAAGTGGACTAATCGTTGGGTTGTAAGGTAAGGCAAGGCAAGGCAAGGCGCACCTTTCAACACAAGGCAATTCAAAGTGCTTTACAAAAATGAAAGACATTAAGAGCATTGAGCTTTTTAGCAGAAATAGCTTTCTATCACCTCACTTTCTTTCTACACTTATCCTTTAGTTATTTCAAGTGTTTCATGCTAAACGAACCCGCCTTTGGAAAATTCTAATCTGACCCCATGGTACCTTTTTTAGTTTTCGCCGAAACCATTCCTCTTTTTGAAATGCACATTAGTTAAGTTCACCTTGTCTTTCAGCAAACTAACTCTCTCTCTTTCCTCTCTGCGTTAGGATGCAACCGCTGGGTCCTCTGAGATGTTACTGAGCGATGAGGATGGGTCAGAGAAGGAAATCCCGCCGGTGAACCACCCCCCAAAAGAAAAACCCCTCAGCTTCATCCACTGACAGCGCCATGCCCCGCCTGCCCTCCTGATTTCCCTCCCACCACTCTACACCTTCCCTCCCATCATCCTCTCTCTTCAGTCAGCATGGCGACTCCTTTCCTGTGGAAGCTGTCCTCTCAGAAACTGGGCTTCTTCCTGGTGAGCTTCGGCTTCATCTGGGGCATGATGCTGCTGCACTTCACCATCCAGCAGAGAGCCAGCCACGAGAACAGCGCCGTGCTGAGGCAGCAGATCCTGGACCTGAGCAAGAGATACATCAAAGCGCTGGCCGAGGAGAACCAGAGCGTCATGGACGGGCCCTACGTGGGAACCATGACGGCTTATGGTGAGTAGATGGCTCAATAGCTGCATGTAACAAACAGACAGAGGTGGGAAGTAGTGGAGTACAAATACTTCGTTACTGTACTTAAGTACATTTTTCTGCTATCAGTACTTTACTCCACTACTTATTTTTCTGACGACTTTTACTTCTTACAATTTGAACACAAATACCTGTACTTTCTACTTCTTACATGTTGAACACAAATACCTGTACTTTCTACTTCTTACATGTTGAACACAAATACCTGTACTTTCTACTTCTTACATGTTGAACACAAATACCTGTACTTTCTACTTCTTACATGTTGAACACAAATACCTGTACTTTCTACTTCTTACATGTTGAACACAAATACCTGTACTTTCTACTTCTTACATGTTGAACCCAAATACCTGTACTTTCTACTTCTTACATGTTGAACACAAATACCTGTACTTTCTACTTCTTACATGTTGAACACAAATACCTGTACTTTCTACTTCTTACATGTTGAACACAAATACCTGTACTTTCTACTTCTTACATGTTGAACCCAAATACCTGTATACTTTCTACTTCTCACATTTCCCAAACAGGCTGGTTCCTTTAGTTTGAATGTGTGTTTGGTGGCGTGATCATTATTCTTTAGAGTCATTGCGTGCCTATTGATTTGAACACGATCCGTGTATCCATCATTTCCTGGTCTTCTCTAAAGAAGAGGGACCAATGAAAACGTTGTCATGTTGCCGTTGTTCAGCATGGAAACATTCATTAGCTAACAATGACATTATTGTTCTATTAATATAAAGGGAGGTCAGGTACTCTTTAAAACAGCTGGTAGCTATGGGTACTTTTTACTGAAGTACATTTCAAAGTTCTTTACTTGAGTAAAGAAGTTTAGTCAGTACTTCTACTTTTACCAGAGTCATTTTAAACACGAGTATCTGTACTTCTACTTGAGTAAAGGATGTGTGTACTTTTGCCTTCTCTGCTAACAGAGTCAAGATCAAGATTGAAGGGTTTTATTGTCATATGCATCTAAGCTACAGTGTAGAAATGGCAATGAAATTCTTCTGACCTGAGCTCCTCCAACAATCCAACATATATAGAATAAAATACAAATAGAAAACAGGGTTCTAATAGAGAATAATAAGACATGGTAGATGGGGGAAGCTGCTGAATGCTGTATGAGCCATAACAGATCCATACAGTGTTAAAAGATAGTTAATTAAATAACTACACCACTATCTAAATAACTAAGAATTTGCAGCAAGGCCTAATCCGGTACCATGTACACAAGACATAATGCATTTTATAATCTTAAAAAGTCCTACATTTCGCTTTAGGATGACTGCATAGGTTCATAAAGTAATAATACAATATACATTTAACGGTTATGATATAGTGCTGGTTTTGCTTACCCAGTCTTTACATTTAAGCGACTGGTTCCACTTGTCTTCCTCCTGAGCAGGCACAGCATCGCCTGTACTGGAAAAAACAATACCCAGGGAAATATAATGCTGATCCAGCTGCATCGGGGCATAATACTGTAATAGCAAAGGGTCCAGGAGAGCCATCAATAAGTTATTCATGCCATTAATAGACCTGTACGGCTCGATGGGAAGCTTCATTAGAAACCTGAGATTGGAATTGATTGTTCTCTAATGCCCAGAGAAACAACAGGATACAGTAAAGCTCCAGGAGATTAGAAAAACTCCAAGAGAACGAGAAGAAGAAGAAGAAGCAGCAACGTAGAAAACTGTTTATTTTCAATTTTGCAAATCAAGACATATCCTGACGTAGGACTTTTCTACACAAGGAGTGACATCTTTAGCAGGATCGGTTAAACAGGGACATCTTCCATAATGTTCTTTTGAAACTCAATTAAGTTAAAACAACCCTTTTCACAGCAAAACGTATTTAATGTCGAAATACGTGGAAAAAGCCACCCCATTATGAGGTACCAAATACCCCAAATTGCTGCCTTGAAGGACATCAAACTTAGAGTAACTAGTGATGTGTAACTCCTCAGATTTATACCTCAAGAAGAAGAAGTGTGTACAGCTAGATCGCAACATCATTATCATTAATCATATACCTAATTTAAAAACCCTAGTTTTCTCTGTAACATGATCCAGGGTTTACGACCACATTGCTTTATCTTATATGATGGATTGATTTTCACCGTCTGCTGACCAGCGCCCAACATCGAATCCAAATCCATTTCATGTCCTTAATTGGATGAAGAAGCAGCAGGAAGCTTGGAGCCTCCTGTGCTAACTCACTGATAACATTTACAGTTTCCTCCTATGCTGCTCATAAATGACCCATAAAGTCTTAATGCATGCAAATGTAATCCTGCCTTTGACGAGCCAAATGTATTTATATTTATACAGACCAATGCCACACATTTGCATCAAAGGACTTTACAATCTGGATGCCTTCTGTCCGTGGCTTGTTGGAAACACACCTGCTGCTCAGTGTCAGAGCAGCTGGCAACCTGCCTCTTTTATAACATGTTAAGCAGGCACATTATTTCCATTTGTGTGTTAAACATATTTCATTTTATGATATCTAATGATGGCTTCGGCTCAGGGTTCAAAAGATGTGTTGTTAAGCAGTCAAATGGCTCCAGAGGCAACCACATTTTCTATTGTGTTTGCTATATACTGAATTTAGTTTAAACATGACTAATAGCATGTCTTAGAGGTGTGATTGTAATCCCGTGTGTTTATTTTCAGCCGTTACAAGGTGATGCAATAGGAAAACATGTAGGACAAACATAGTAAAACATAAAAAAAGACGAGGAGAAAGGTTGAGTCATTTATTTTCTAAACCTCTCAAAAAACTCATACCAAAGAATGTTGTTTTATTTCCTTTATTAAACATTTACTAATTTAAAAACACTGTTTGCACTGCTGACCTGTTAATTATTCGCCCGTCGCTTGCTTTAAAACAAGGAAGGGAAAGTGTTTATTTGGGTTTCAATTCTAAAACAGCGCAACAGCAGTATTTGATATCTCTTCCAGCGGTCGACATATATCTAAACCTGCGTTGAGGCGCCGTCACTGTACAGTCAGACGTCACCTGACACGAACTTTCCCTTTCCCCTCCACCTGAAACTAAGCCGAGCATCCGGGCGTGTCGAGCCACTTGCTGACATTGTGTCTCGTTACCGCTCTGAAGCTTCTGCAGATTTCTTTTGTGGCTCGCACACACATCACAAGTCAAAAGTCAACTTTATTATCAATGTTTCAGTTTGTGTGTACAGACAGAGAGATCGAAATACCTTTTCCCACAATCCCGAATACAAAAACAAATATATATATGTACATTAGTGCAAGACTGTCCATAGCAGCGTAAAATAAAAAGTGTGTGTGTGTGTGTGTGTGGGGAGAAAGACCCGAGCACTGGGTGTGGTGTCGGATCATGTTTACGCTATAATCCTCTCCATCCCCTCCAGGGTGCAAGGTGCTCTTTGTCACATGACGTCGTCAGATATGAGATATAGGGACCTCTGGCAGGGTTAAAAAAGAACACAATGAATAATGGGAATCGCTGATGAACGCCTTGAGCCTTTGTTCCCATGCAATCACGGGCTAAATGAGAAAGCCCAGGTCATTGCGCAGGCAGATTATTATCTTATATGACACTGATATTAAAAGCAAACGTGTTGTTATCGCTGCAGGACTTGTTTTCAAAGGGGTTTTAAGAAATATTGAGACAGGCAGAAATGTGTGCCCTAGGTGTGCGATTACTCATCTGGTGACCTGGCAGCGGTGTTTAAAAAAGGTTGCATTATTCATCCTTTCTAACACACTGGCTAATGAACATCTCTGACTCAAAACCGCACATTTAATAAGTGGAAAACCTGTGAACATTTAGACACACACACACAGGTGTTAAACTAAGAAGTTAACTCCAGATGCACCAGTCACCAAAATCTGTCTCGCCCCGTAAATACTTTATAAAAGCCCCCCCAAAAGAATTCAGCCGTAGTGAAATGGAGGTACTGTTAGATAAACTCAAACTAAATAAATATGGGAGGACAAATACTTTTTCCTAATTTGATTACATGTTATTCAGGAGGTTTTTATATTCCTCAAATGTAAAACTCCCTTGTATCAGACGGACAATTTGTAGACTTTGGAAACAAGATGTATTTTTCTTATCTTGGTATCTCCTAAAACGTTCCCTTATCCAGAAATCAATGGGTACCAACAAAACAAATCTTGGATCACTTCAATCATATATAATTCTTTTTGATTGTAAATCCAATTGCAAGAAAGAAACAAAGCCAGTTGTTGTTTACTCCTATCGTAAAGCATTAGCTCAGATATTAAACAGGCCTGGCGAATGGCCTGATGTTCAGCCTGAAGACCTAAGAGGTAAACAGAGGGGGGCATTAACTCTGGGCTAACCCCTTCTTTCTGATTATGTTCAGACCAATAGCTTGGCAATGCCGGCGCTCCAAAAGCTTTCCGCTTGGATTCTTCCCGGTCTCTCGTCGCTCTCCGTTCCTCGTCCAAATCAGACAAAAATGTCCTGGCATTTCTCCTCACATGAATCAGGACGCCTCGTTCTGCCAGGCCTCGTTGTGCCCTTGCCAATCTCTCTGACGTGATGAAAACTGGCGTGTCAAATGCATCACGGCGAGGGAATATGTGGCGCTCGTATGCGATAGACAAGCTGCAATTATCACGGTGTGATGAAAGCACTCTGGGTCTCTTATAAAACCGATGATATAATACACCGTAATGATGATGACAGAGCGCTCTGCTGCAGACGTAATACATAATATGTGTTGTTGAACTGAATGCAGCACATGCATTTCTCTGCAAATGTCATTGAAATGGCTGCTGTGCTGGGTACAGTATTGGACAAATACCACATGAAAAGAGCCATGGATTTGCATTTTAAACATATGCCCTTTGCGTCTCATTACCGGTCAGCGTCCTTCCTGCCCGTTAGCTGTGTGCTATGCAGATAAATGCCCCCTGTCACAGAAATGCAAAGACCAAAAGTCGCAGTGGCTCCAGTTTTACATTTAAATAATCCTCAGGCTGAGAAAGACATGTAGTAGTGGGAGATAATAAGTCCACACTGCAGCAGAGCAACGTTCCCCAGACTTCAGGCGGATATATCACATGCATGTATTCACTGTAGTGATAGGGAAGCTTTTTAACTTGGAGAAAAACAGGGCAGAAGTAGCTGCTAACGCTAGCATGTATTGCCTGATGTTGACTTCTCCTTTACTGTAACAGTCGCCTGCTTAAATAAGTATTTTAAAATCTGCGTACAATGTAAGAATCAGGCACACAGTAACGGTGGCATTTCTTTCTGTTGATTTGATGAACCTAAAGATCGTATTCTTGACAGCCAAATAGATTTTCTTCCTGATTTTCACGCCACATTTACGTCAGATCTTTTGATTCTGTAATGGAATATAATCCTAAATAACTCCATGCATTTGACAGGTTGTATTTATTCCATCCTTACTGTATTACAGATTTGAAGAAGACCCTTGCAGTGCTGCTGGATAACATCATGCTGAGGCTCGGTAAGCTGGAGTCCAAGGTGGAAAACATCTACAACAGCACGGGGAGCAACCTGACCATCGGCACCGGCACCATCGTACCCAGCGCCACTAACTCAGAAAAAGTTAACGTGGCAGGTATGTGATGCATTTTTGCTTTTCACTTGGCTTCATAAAGTTATTTTTTTGCAAGTTTCATCCAGTTTCCCCTTCCAGAGCAATCCTGTTGTTTATCAAAGTGTGCAATAAACACAAGGGGTTGAGTCCAATTAAAGACATGAGGATAAGCTGGTTAAGGCTGTTTTCTATCACTCCCAAAAGGAACGGCATTCCCGAGGCGTGCAACCAGCTAAACTCTGGCAGTATCGCACCGTGCACACCTGGCACTTTAGAGGACTACACCGCATCCTTGGACATAATTCAAATAAGGCATCCGTTCACGCTGCATGACCCTTTTATTCGTTTTCATTGATTTAACTGCCAGCTTTCACATGATGAATTCAGCCCGGAAGAGGCAGCGAGGTGTTGGTTTTTCTGACATCCTTGGACTTGTTTTCGCAGCAGGAATGTGGTGGCATTACACGCAAAATTAGATCAGGCTGATCGAGTTGAACAAAGTCACATTTTAAATGGATCTAATATTAATGACAGCTGCTTGCTCTGCTATCTTTTATCTAATATCGAAGCTGCCTTTGAAGCTTTTTCTCTTTTAACCTCGAGTTGAATGACAATCATAGATATGAACGTCATTTGAAAGTGATCAAGACAATTGAATTCATTCAGCCATGGGGTTATGACTCAAAATGTGACTTCTTATCTCTGTGTTTTAGGGCTTTTCCTTTCAAGAGCCAACCACTAATGCCACTTCCTTTCACAGTACGTGCAACATCTTGCGCCGTGTCTATCTAGTTTCGTGTGTGAGATTAAACCAGTCACTTAGCCTGGTTTCGCATCCTCAAAATGAATTTCTCTTATCTTAACATACATGTTGCATTTATTTTTACATTTTGCCAGTAAGTAATTAAGATAAGATAGGACTTTATTTATCACAAAGGAAATAGTTGTGCCAGAGTTACAAAAATACCATAAACACAGCAGCATAATAATAATACAACTGTACACTAACAGAGCAGTGCAAAGAGCAATTAAATAACTACAAGAAAACATAGACAGTCACATAATTAATGTAAATATTAACAGAATTTAGTAGTGCAAAAAACGTAGTGGCAGATACGTAATTGCACGTAATTATAGAACATTATTGATAATAATAATAATAATATTGCACATGTTATATAGCAGAGAGTGTTTTGTAATGATGGTACACATAAACATGAAACAGACATATACACACACATAATACACTGCCTTCTCTGATTGGTCCAAACTGGAGAGGAGACTCTAGTCCCACGTTGTTCGGTAGTGTTCATTTTGTCAGCTATTTTTTAATTTAGTCCTGTGTCAAATGTCCTTGTTAGTTTTAGTCATATTGTGTCACCTTCATCCTGTTTTTATTTAGTCAAGTTTTAAAAAGTCTGAGCATGTTAGTCTTATTTTAGTCGAAGACAACTAACTATTTTAGTCTACTTTTTGTCAATGAAAACTGTTGACATTTGAGTCTTTTTTAGTCATCAGATTATATTGAACATTTCAGTCAAACTAGTCAAAACAAAACCGATAATTTGTCATTTTAGTCAAACTTATTTCACCATAAGATTATATTTTATCCGTATTTGATGAAAAACACAGAGATGAAACTCTAATAATCTCACATCATTGTCAGGACACTTGATCTTTGGTTGTGAAGAGATAGTACCTGGACCTGTGTGTGACCACATGTCAACACACCGGCAGTGTTCTCTTAAAACTCCCAGTGTTGCTCCTGAGAGACAACATTTGAATGCAGGTCGGGCTGACAAAGCGAACATCTGTCTTGGCATCGAGCTTAATAATAATAATATTGTAAATCAATGTTATATTTAAGCAATAGCTCACGACAGGCCGTGGTATATGCACCATTATATCACAGCTAAGGGGCATGGTTCGGCCCGACGCGAATCGGAGGGTCGACAACCCCCTTAGCTGTGATATAATGAGCATATATCACGGCCTGAAGTGAGCTATTGCTTTTATAAAACGGTTACCAAGTGTGGCAATATGAAAGAAAAATACACACTCTAATTTAAATAGTTTTTATTAGTAAATAATGATGTTCAAAATAAAATAGTCCCTCTGTTGCCTTCTGTACGAAACATAGTGCGAGGTGGTTGCTATGCAACAACACTAACAACAGCTAGCGAACATATTAGACCGAGAGCGTTGATCCATTATTTGGCTATTTATTTACATTAATGTGTATGTTGCCGTTTATTGTGCACTCACTGAAAAACTGTCCAGCATCAGTAGCATGGCTTACGTGGTCACTTGTATAGGCTGAGGTTGTTCTAGGCTGCTTGGTGTGGCGAGAATATTGCTCCACTTTCTCCGGTCCCCGAGATTCGGCTTCCAGTAGCTCTGGAGAGAGCTTTCGCACCTGTGGCCACTAACGGTCATCATTTCTCTGCTTTGTTTCAAGACCCGCATCAGAAAGCTTTTGAATGGTGATACTTTTCCAGTTGGTCTACCTGCTCTTCACGTCGCTCTACATGTCGTCGTTTAGGTGCTTTTTGTTCTAGAGATAGGCACTCCTCAATCCACTCCTCCATAGTAAGACCCCCCCCCCCCCCGGAGGTCGAAGTTAATCTTAAATGTTTTTGCGGACCTTTTTGATTACAGATTTGAAAACATCGTTGCTCGCTTTAAAAGTAGCACAATTCATTATGTCAAACCTTGGAAAGTATCTAGATATCCCTGCCCTAATGCCAAAGTAACTGGCAACTGAATATGTTTTTGCCGTTTGATGTCTATGTCTGGACCGTTGTGTAAAAAGGAGGGTTTCTGCCCCGTTACTTCTCCGCTGCTTTCTTGTTCCAGTTTGAAAAGCAAACTGCAGGCTAAGAACCAATCAGATTGCTTGATTTTACTTGTCCGTTTTATAAAAGTACACAAACACTGCCTCTTTGTTGCTTCTCTGATTTGTCCCAATCTGCCCATTGTCAACACTTGAGATGAGACTCGAACCTCACATTGTTGTCGGGACACTTGATCTAGTACCTGGACCTGTGTGTGTGACCACATGTCAACACACCGGCAGTGTCCTCTTAAGACTCCCAGTGTTGCTCCTGAGAGACAACATTTGAATGCAGCTCGAGCTGACATCTCTCTTGGCGAAGCTAAAGGGCCCGACACTCCTGAGTCTCCTGTCCTTGGAGTGGGTGGCACGCAGAGCTGCTGCCAAATCCTCCCCGACTGCAAGGCAATTACACCGATAAAGATCTGGACAGTGAGGGGAACACGCCTGGCTTTCAGAGAGGCCTCTATCAAGATGGAGCTGCAGCGCTGGGAATTACAGGGGCAACACATCACAAAACTCACATTTCGGATCATATCACGGCTTTGAGTCTTGGATTAGTACATTTTTTTTAATCGTAATCAAAGAAAAACTGGTATACATGACGGTCGATGTCAACGCATTTCCTTCTAACAGTTGTCGTAACTCAATTTTTCCAATAATGCGGTGAAAACATGCCTTCAATATCCTAGCATTATGGCACAGAGATTATAGTCTGGTTCTTCATACACGGCTTTGAGTCTTGGATTAGTACATTTTTCGAATCGTAATCAAAGAAAAACTGGTATACATGACGGTCGATGTCAAAGCATTTCCTTCTAACAGTTGCAGGAATTCAATTTGTCCAATAATGCGGTGAAAACATGCCTTCAATATCCTAAGATTGTGGCCCCTGGTTCTTCATATTCACAACAACACTTCATACATGCCTCCTCCCCTCCATACATGACATGTGATCATTTTAGCAGCTACTGTAAACCCAACGTTCTACTTCCTGCTGCAGCTGTGATCTAACAGCTGGTTGCACATTGTGAGAACACAGTATCCTCCTTGTGTAAGTCATCCCACAAAAATGTGGCCTTGTCGCATTGCTTTGAAGTGAAACATAATGTTCGCTGTGAAGTGACGCTTGTCTTTGCTGCAATGCAATACAATACAATACAATACAATACAGGCATGACCACATTTTAAACATAGTATTGCCAAAGCATCCCGCACGAACAGCATAACACAAAATATACTGTATATGCCACTATGCAATGAGTTCTCAGGCGTAGTTTCGGCCTTGTTTGCTGTTGCTTTTCGCCACAGAAGCTCCTTATAGGATCACAAACAAGTCGATCTGGCCTCAGTTGCCGCTCAGCAGGAGGCAGATGGGACTCAGTCCAAAAGCGTCGTGTGTCGCCTCGTCTTGCCATGTCTCGCTGATGTGGCTAATCAACCTCCCCAGCAGTGTTTCATGTGGGGGCTGGAAATGTAATCTCCTCCTACACACACACACACACAAACACCCAGGCGTGGAGAAAGATGTAATGAATGGTCAGGTGGTGATTTACAGCTGACTAACCCACCCATTTTGTTCCCTCTGCGATATATTCCTGCGACTGTTTAAAGTTCCCGACGTCCCTTGGTGATGATTTGTAGCTTCCTCCCGTCTTTCGTGACACGATTCCCTTTTGTCTTCCATAGAGAGAGAGAGAGACCGGTGCTTTCACAGCTCCGGGCATCTTCACTGCTTTCTGTCTCTTTTCAGATATCGATCCGCGTGCATCTCTGTTTCACAAACACAGTGAAAGATGAGATCCAAGGTCTCAGTGTCAACAGAGGAGAGAGACAAGGACAGGGTTTCTGCAGGGGATTACACCTGTCCTGGTAACCTGAGGGTTGCAATTCAAGATTCAAGGCTTTTATTGTCATTCGTACATAGCTACAGTGAAGTTATGTCGATGAAAATCGTAGGTCCCAGGCTGCTCCAACAGTGCAACACAATAAACAGATACAATAGTGCACGTAAATATCATTAAAATAGAATAGAAGTAGTGAGTCTATATACAAGTGATACATAATTTGTAAGTTGCAAACAGGTGAATGTTATGGATGCACTTTTCAGATTCAGATGATGTCCTTATGTTAGCCAACTTGGGTCGATTTCGGTGTTAAACTCACAGATTATTTTCCAGCGAAACCT